TTCATAATCTGTCATAATTCTCTTTATTTTTATCGGGTCAGTTGTAATGTCCTCTCTTTCATTTTTTATCTTGGTTATTTGCATCTTTTCTTTGTCAGTCTAGCTAAAAGATTTGTTGCCTTTTTAATCTTTTCAAAGAACCAACTTCTGGTTTTATTGATTCTCTCTATTGTTTTTCTGTTTTCAATTTTATTTATTTCTGCTCTGATCTTTGTTATTTCCTTTCTTCTGGTAGATTAAGGCCTAGTTTGCTTTTCTCTTTCTGGTTCCTGGAGTTACCGAGTTGGGCTATTCATTTGAGATCTTTCTTCCTTTTTCATGTAGGCATTTATTGCTGTAAGTTTCCCTCTGACTACTGCCTCCGCTGTGTCCCATAAGTTTTGGTATATTGTGCTTTCATTTTCATTTTACTCTAGGAAGTTTGTGGCTTCTTCTTGACCCATTGGTAGTTTAATAGTGTGTTGTTTAATTTATGTATGTTTGTATATTTTCCAGGTTTTTTTTTTTTTCTGTTACTGATTTCTAGCTTCGCTGTTGTGATTAGAGAAAATACTTTGTATGATTTCAGTCATTTTAAATTTATCAAGACTTGTTTTATGACCTAAAATGTGGTCTCTCCTGGAGAATCATCCCTGTGCACTGGAGTAGAATGTATATTGTGCGGTTTTGGGATAGAGTGTTCTATATGTGCCTGTTAAGTGTGGTTGGTTTCTAGTGTCATTTAAGTCCTCTGTTTCCTTGGTGATCTTTTTGTAGGTGTTCTATCCAGTATTGAAAGCAGTGTATTGAAATTTCCAACTATTACTGTAGTTATATCTATTTCTCCCTTCAATTCTGCCACTGTTTGCGTTACATACTTAGGTGCTTGATGTTGGGTGTGTATAGATTTATGATTGTTAAATCTTCTTGATTAATTGACTCTTTTATCACTATATAATGTCCATCTTTATCTTTTCTACACAGATTTTATCTTAAAGTCTACTTTGTCTGATATTAAGAGTGCCGCCTCTGTTCTCTTTTGGTTATTATTTGCCTGCAGTATTTTTTTCCATCCTTTCATTTTCAACCTATTTGTGTCCTTGAGTTTAAAATGTGTCTCTTGTAAACAGCATATAGCTGGGTCATGTTTTTTTATCCATTCTGCCACATTTTAATTTTTTTGTCATAAGAAAAAAAAAGAACTTTTGAAGAAAATGTTTTAATGTATAATATTAATGTATTTATCTTTACATCAATGCAGTTGTAAAATATAATTTTTTATAAAGAAAGAGGCCCATGAAAGCAAAAAGGGCCTGGTGCCCATGAAAATCATCATGTGCCCTGGGCATATATAGACCTATGAAATCATTACCATGATCAAGATAATAAATATTTCCATCACCATCAAAAGTTTTATGGTGTCCTTTTGTAATCCCTCTTTCCCACCCCTCTCCACCCCTTTCTCCTTTTTGTCTCTAGTCAACCACTCTTCTGCTTTCTGTCATTGTAGGTTAGTTTGCATTTTCAGGAATTTTATGTAAATAAAAGCATAAGTGAAATTATCTAGTATATGCTGTCTTTTTTGTGATCTGACTTTTTATTTACGCATCACCATTGTTTTGCTATTCACCTATGTTGTTATGTGTATCAGTAATTTATTCCTTATAATTGTTGAGTAGTATTCCATTGTATGGGGATACCACAGTTGATTTGTTCACTTGTTGATAGGTATATGGGAAGTTTCCAGTTTATGGCTATTACAAATAAAGCTGCTGTGAACATTTATGTACACTTCTTTGTATGGCCATATATTTTTTATTTCTATTGAGTAAATACCTAGGAATGGAATGGCTGGATCATATGGTAGTTGTGTGTTTAACTTTAAAAAAAAAACTGTCTTTCCTTATGCAAATCTTTCCTCTAGCTTTTTGAACACATGGAGTACAATTATAATAACCGGTTTTATGTTCTTGTCTTCTAGCATTTGTGTCATTTCTGGATTGGTTTTAATTTTTTTTTCTCATCATTATGGATCTTATTTCCCTGCTTTTTTGCATGCCTGATAATTTTTTACTGTATGCCAGACATTTTGAATTTTACTTTGTTGGGTGCTGGATATTTTTGTATTATTATAAATATCTTTGAGGTTTGTTCTGGGATGCAGTTAAATTACTTGGCAACAGTTTGATCTGTTCAAGTCTTGCCTTTAAAATTTGTTAGATGGGATCAGAGCAGTGTTTAGGGCTGATTATTACCCACTACTGAGGTAAAATCCTTCTGAGTACTCTACCCCAGGCCCCATGAATTAGGAAAGTTTACAGTCTGGTTGGTGGGAACAGACATTATTCCCAGCCCTGTGGGAGCACCGGCACTGTTCTCCAGTCCTTTTGGATGGCTTTTTCCCCAGCTTCTGGTAGTTAGTTAACCCTTAGAAACTCTCTGGGTTTCTCTTCCTGTATATCTGTTTTTCTTGAGTACTCTTACTGTGAACTATGGCCAACTTGTTGTCTCTGGACTCTCCATGTCCTCAACTCAGTGTCCTTACCTCAGGGAATCCATGGTTCAGCTCAGGAAGTGTGTGTATTCAACTCAGAGAATCTGTTCTCAGCTGGGTTTCATCTCTCTGCGCTGTGGTATGGTAACTCTCCCAAGGTGTAGTAACCTGGAGTAATTGTAGATCTCACCTCATTTGTTTCCCATCTGTTATGGATCACTATCCTTTATTCCCTGATGTCCAATATCTTAAACAGTTCTTCTGTATATTTTGTTTCTTTTTCTTTTTTGTTTAGTTGTAACAGGAGGGTAGATCTGGTTCATGTTACTTTATCTTGGCTGAAGCGGAAGTCCAGATTGTCTTCTCAAAAGGAGACTGACAGTTCTGATTTCACCATTTATTTCTCAACAAGATGCTTAGATTATTCATTTTCTATACAATTTAGTTTTATGTGACCCTAGGCAAGTTATATAACTTCTAAAATTCTTAGTTTCCTTATCCTTAAAATGTGCCAATTCTATGGATCAGAATTGTTTTAAGAATTAAACTAGAAAACAGTAAAGCACTTATAATGGTCTGTGGCATTTATCAAGGCTTGCTGAAGTACAGTTTTCTTCCTCATTTTTTTCATAAATTACATTTCACTGAAAGTATCCATTTAGTTCTATGTAGTAAACATAGAACCAATTTAAAGCCATCCTTATTCTGATAGTTTTGTAATCTCATGTACATTTTATTGTGTAACTGTATAAAACTATGGAAAGTTTCTTACTGATAATTCAGAAAATTCTATACATAACTTCATAATGCTCATTATATAAAACAAAACATTTGCCACTTCAGTATTTTTTACATGTACAATTTAGTGACATTAATTACATTCATCATGTTTTGCAACCATCACCACCAGCCATTTCCAGATTTTTCTGTCACTCTTAACAGTTTTGCTTTTATTTTACAAATTGCTAACATAAATAGGAGCCCTGGTGGCACAGTGGTTGAGTGCTCAGTGGATAACTGAAAGGTGGGTGGTTTGAACCCACCAGTTGCTCCATGGGAGAAAGATGTGGCAGTTTGCTTCCATAAAAATTAACCTTGGAAGCCCTATGGGCAGTTCTACTCCTACAGGGTCGCTGTGAGTTTGAATCGACTCAATGGCAATGAGTTTGTTTGTTTTTTATCATAAATAAAGGTTTACATGGTTGCTTATTGGTGTCAATAAACCAAAGTGTAACTATTAATAACTTGCTCTAGGGCTTAACAGTAATGAATGTTGTTGAGCACTCGCTCTGTACTTAGTCCTGAATTATTTTTTCAGGTTTTACGATGAGTCAATATCCATCTTAAACTTCCTTCTAATCAGTTATATGTTTTACCTTTCCCCACATCTGGACATATTACCTCTCCTTTACCACTAATGTGTGCAGCTTCTACTCTGTTGACTCATTTTTCTTTTTATTTGTCAAATAGTTTTTCCATAGGTGTTTACATGTTCTTACCTTATCTAGACTGCAAAACTATTTGTGGAAGACATAAATTTGTCTTTTAATGTTCTTTCTATGAAGAACCTACTACTGTGGGTATCTAGCAGGCATTCAGTAAATGCTTAATGATGAATGAAATGCTTCAGCTTGAAAACATACATATTTGTAATGCAAATTAATTATACTACTTGAAATCTTACTGAGAGGTACCGTAGTGCGTAGCTGTATATTTTTATAGTTATTGAAATTCAGTGCCATTTCTTCAGTAACTCATTTTTTAAAAACTATTGTTTCATAGTTGTGCTGTTAAAAAAGTGGTGCTGTTTAAAGTTGATTAATGGCAGTTGATTTCACCATGTGTATTTATTGTCAAAGAAATATAAGCACCTTCAATATTTAGAACTATTCCTTTGTCCTCTAATAGGTAGTAAGAGTTTTTGAGACGTAAGTTAGGCTCCTTATTCTCTTTGGTGCCTTATGGCTAAAAAACATTAAGTGCTTCCTCTCCCCAAACCTCCAACTTCCAAAATATTTTACATTTGTTATAACCTTTATATATGATGGTTATTGCTTGATAAAGCTAAGAGACTTTTCAAGTTAGAAAGCTAAGGAAATATATAGAATTTTGGAATTATGAACTGAATTTGTATTAAAGTGTGCTTTTGTTTTAATCCCTTTGTGGGTCAGGGTAATTCTTAAAATAGTATATGGTTCATTTGTGAACTCTATCGCGATCAAATATGGATACCATAATTGATTCCATTTATCTAACTTCTGTTATAGTTAGGCATTGCTAATTTTCTTTTTAAAACAAGTTTTTTTTTGGTGTGTTTTTCTATTGATATTTCAGTCTTCCTCAAATCTGATTTTAAGCTGAAGGGAGAGGTGCATACTGAGAAGCGCCATATGTAATTGTCTGATAACAAGGATAAATTTTGCAACAGATAATAGAATAATTATTTATCTAAAAAGATTGTATGGATTTACTATTCTAGATTAATTTTACTAGTTTTGTTGTTGTTTGTGTTTTCTCGTGTTGACAGGGTTGCTTTAGACACTCTTGCTGCATTGCTAAAATCAAGTAAGTTTTTAAATACTAGAAATACTAGATTCTGTTTCTCTGAGTATCTATCTACCGTGTTAAAGAAACTGGAGATGTAGATGTAGTCTGTGTCCAAAATTCCAAAGTTATAAAGCTGGATTATGATATTTTAATGTAAAAATTGATTTGATCATCTAGTACAGTTGATATACATTGTAATTAATGTCATATTTTGTTGCTTGAGCTATAATTTATTTAGTAAAGTTATATAATTTGTTCCAGTACATTGACTTCCTATTTCTAAGTTATTTATATAAACATAAAACCTTGTTAGTAGAGGAAAATAATATGTAAATATTATATAAGTATTATTTTTTTAAAGTGAAGCTAACATGGTATTGAGAACTTTTACTGTGAGAAATATCTTGAACAAACACTGTATCTCTCTGTAACACATGATTTTCACTTAGAAATCTCTTATTAGAAATTTTGTTTCTACCATAAATTCAAATTTATAGCATTAAAAAAGTAATATAAATTTTTAGTCTAACTTCAGTTAGAAATAAAGCACTATTTTCTTTATTTTTAAGACTAAAGCATTGGAGTAAATTGTCTTACCATGGTATGATGCCTTTGCAGGGTAGTCATCTACATTTATGTGTTTTTTTTCTCTCCAACATACTCAGTATCTCTTTTAAATAGTAATAATTTTTCATTAGTAGTATCAGTAATAGCTATGAAATAAAAGACACTCCCATGGAAGATTGGTTGATTACAATTAATATTTTATGTAGCCACAATAACATTTTCGTCTTAAACCTCTGTGTTGATGGCTTTCAATGCCCTCCCCTCCCTCAAGGGAGAAATAATGAGCAGGCAGTTCATAAAAAACCAAGGGTGAGACCCAGCTTGCTCTTAAGTTTGATTTAAGATTAATTCTCAGATTAGTACAGGCATATATTATTTATTTGGAATGGAATAGAATAGCTATTAAAATTAAACTTTTATTAAAGCTTATTAATTATTAGAATCATTGATGGTAAGTCATTAATTCGAAGTCAATGAAAAGTATAAAACCTTCATAAATTTCAAGTATTTTACAGAAGTCAGTTAACTTAAAATGACATCGGTTATATTTAGTTTTAAACTGTCTTGCTTTTACTTCCTTCCTCATTCTTCAAAGGAGAGTGGTGGGCAAACAGACCTGTTTACTCCATCAAAATAAAAAAGTAACTGACAAGTAGAATGAATCTAGTTTACGCTTACTGTGTTTTCTAATGACACATGACACTAAACAGGATGAAAATTTAACAATGCAAAATAATGTTTAGTAGTACACTGCATATTTTTTAAATTTACAATGGCATTTTGGAGCATTCTTACTGATTTTTTTAAAAAAATGCTTTTTTTTCAGGGGATGAGGCAGCAGTAATTCACTTTAAAGGGATAAATTACACTACTGTATTAAATGCAGGGAGAATATAGAGCAAGGAATATGTATACAAACATAGTCCAGGAAGACAGGCAGTTCATTTGCCATTGTTGGAGTATAGATTAGAAACCGTAGCCTAAAGGTGAACCTGAGCTGTTTTTTAATTAGAGAGACAACAAGATAGCTAGTAAGCTAAAGACTTACATATTCCAGTTAGTGTAAGTAAAGTATAAATACATGAAACTTGTTAGACACAGCCTTAACAAACCTAGCTATTCTAGGCACAATAGAGGTTTTAAAGCTTTCACATAAGAAAGCTTTCTCCCCCAGGCAGTTTTCTTTTGACTCTCTAATGTCAAACTGTAATTTCTGAGTGGGAATTCATAAGTTTGATTGTCCCAATATCTTAATGTTTTAAGTACATGTTAGCCTGTTTAGGAGCCCTGGTGGCACTGTGGTTAAAGCGCTTGGCTGCTAACTAAAAGGTCGGTAGTTCGAACCCACCAGCTGCTCCACAGGAGAAAGATGTGGCACTCTGTTTCCGTAAAGATTACAGCCTTGGAAACTCCATGGACAGTTCTATTCTGTCCAGTAGGGTAGCTATGAGTTAGAATTGACTTGATGGCAGCGGGTTTGGGTTTTGGTAATAGGACATTTGGAAACTGCTATAAATCTTTCAGGCATCTAAAAGTAGCAGAGCCTTACTGTTGGATTGCTTTAGTGTTCATGCTGTGAACCAAGGGGTCATTTTATGAGTTAGGAAGAGATTGGTATTCCTTTGTAATGAAATGACCTCTGATAGGTTAGTATTCCACATCATCTTGTGCTCGTTATAATTGGCTGACCGATATGGTGCTGAGTGGCTCAGTATGTTGATGTGACATGATTCCCTGCTGGCATCTTATTAAAATGTAACCTTTTAGTTAATAATCTTAAATAGTAACACTTCAAAAATATTAAAATCAGGTCACATTGTGGATTTATTTCTGTTAATTCTACGCTAATGAAATTGGCCATTTACAAAAAACCTTTAATGTAGTTTTCATTACATTAAAAAATTAATGACTGGAAAGCACTAACTTCTAATACTTCTTACATTTCATTTACTAAAAGTTGTATTAAGTATTTCTAACTTAGTATTGTTATGGCATGGCTATTTATATAATTATGGAGTAATTAGAGAAATTAATTTCAATGGGAACACATACAGTTTGTAATAAGAGGTACAATCCAATGGAGTAAATTTCAATGAAAACACAGTTTGTAATAGAAGTTACAATGATAATAGCTTTTAACAAAATCTGTTATTCACAGCTAGGAAGTTAAAGGCTATATATTCCATTTGGTGTAATAAAAGTAGATCTATTCATAAGTTTTAAAATACATGACATTTTTTTAGTATGAACATTTAACAAGGTGTAATTTTATTTTTTTTAAGGAGATTTTCATATTTATAAACCACTAAACAGCATATGGACAGGTTTCTGGAAAATGCTGTAATTTGCCCTGTGGAACTTAGCATATTTATTTTATTAGATAAAAAATATTTAAATAATATGAATGCTATTTTTTCTTTTGGAAGACAAGAAATAATTCATCACCGTGTTGAGGTAATATTTTTAATTTGATTTATTTTGTTTTTTCTTGTCATCTTTTTAATACTCTTTCTTAATTTTCTTTTGTTAAAGAAACAAATGCCAGGAGAGCTGTAGACAGAGGATATGTCCACGTACTTTTAACAATTTATGTAGATTGGCATCGCCATGATAATCGGCATAGAAACATGCTCATTCGGAAAGGAATTTTACAGAGTTTAAAAAGTGTTACAAACATCAAGTTGGGAAGAAAAGCATTTATTGATGCCAATGGAATGAAAATTTTGTATAACACTTCACAAGTGAGTTTTTTACTTTCTATTATTGTGATTACGTACTAATGATATGATTTGGTTCTTAAAGCCAAATTGGTATACAGATACTTAGAAAAGTAAAAGTATTGTAAATATATTTAAACATATCTTAAAACCAAAAGGTGCAATCATTCATCACACATGATCGCAGACTGAGCTGGAGAAGCTGGTCAAAGCACATCTCTGCAGTGAGAGTTCCATCTCCTCCCCACCCCCCCAAAAAAAATATAAAATAAAATAAAAGAGGGCTGGAACATGTATAAATCCATCCAAGGGCAGGAAGGGATTCCATGTAGCCGTGTTTTCTAGGATGTGCAGTTGGCTTTACTCGGTTTTGGGTGTTCCTGCAGAAGGTATTTATGGACCTTTTACCAGTGGAGCCCTGGTGGCATAGTGATTAAGAGCTCGGCTGCTAACCAAAAGGTCAGCAGTTCGAATCCATCAGCCGCTCCTTGGAAACCCTACAGGGCAGTCCTACTCTGTTCTGTCAGGTCACTATGAGTCGGAATCAACTTGACGGCAATGGGTTTTACTGCTGGTAAGGCAGTTCTATTGTCTGTGTGTGTTCTGCATGTCTTCTGCTGGATAGAACCTTTTTGGATAGAGAAGATACAGAAATGAAACCTGGATTTGATGATCCTCATTCTGCCAGCCATCTGAAGTATAAACACTCTTGACAGTATCTTCTACAAGATCTTTCTAGCATCTGTAGAAGACTGTCAGCTATGGGGAATGGAGATGTTATGATGCAACCCTTTTGTTACATCAGAAGGCTATAATTATTAGAAAGAAATCTTCTATGAGAATTCCAGTCATTTTCCTTGGTTGTGTTCTCTTGACATTACATATGACAAACATGATCTTTTTCTTCATGACAGTAGTTAAGATGTCTGAGCATACGTTTCATGTTTACCCTAATTTTTTCTCTTCTAGGTCGATCATCTGTACGTCTTTTTATTATTCGTAGTATAGTGAAGTTTGAATACTTAATATATGGGAAGGAGCCATGGTATTTGGAACCAGAAATTCTGGGTTTAAAGCCTTACTAAGAGGACCTTGTTTATGTCACTTAACCATTTCTGACCCTTAATTTCTTCTCTGTTGGAAGGGTCAGATTTGAAAATATATATTGAAAATTTTACAGCATGTTAAAGTATCATTTAAATGCCAATTGTTAATAATATTAATATTGTAATATGACATAGTTTCAAATCTACAGTTCATCTTAGCCCTTTTCAAGATTAGATTTCAGGGCGGCAAATCAGTCTTTTAAAACTTAAAATAGTGATATTCAGTTTATTCTTTTATAAGTTGAACAGCCAACTTATGAGATAACTGATACAGTTCTAAGAAAGACTTAGCAGAATACACATCTCTGTTCCTGTTTATTTCTTTCACTTTTAGTTTCTTACTTAATCCTTTTTTTTCTCTTCTTCGCTTAAAATTTCTCTTTTTTTTTTTATGCCCCTGGCTTGCTAAATGTCTGCCTAAGTCATTCATAGATATTACGTAGTACTCTTGATAACTTTCAACACCAAAGATGGTACTGATTTCTACTTAGTTAAACTAAGGAAGAGTATTAAGTTTTCGATATGAGGTTTGTTCTTTTCTTTAAAAACAGGAATGTTTGGCAGTCAGGACCCTTGATCCTCTTGTCAACACCTCCAGTCTGATAATGAGGAAGTGTTTCCCTAAAAATCGCCTGCCGCTCCCAACGATTAAAAGTTCCTTCCATTTCCAGTTGCCGGTCATTCCTGTGACTGGACCTGTGGCTCAGCTCTACAGTTTACCGCCTGAAGGTAGGACTGCATGGTTACTGCTGGCTTTGGTTGACTCTTAGAATTATGCGACTCTATGGACTCTTTCACTTGTGTTCAGCTCCTCTGTGAAAGAAAGCTTTAATGAACATAAGAAACCTTCACATTTTAGTTTCTATTTCTTTCAGTATAATAGAGGCCTAGTAATTAAGGGTAGTAGTTACATGTATGTAAATGTGAGTTGTGAAAAAATTTAATTAAGTATCACATAGGCACATACTTTGGTAGTTTATATAAATTTTCACAGTATAAGAATATAGACATTAAATGTTTAGGAAATTATATTTGGGTTCACATTTGTAACTTTTTAATGAACTTCAATTTCTTAAGTTAAAAAAACCTAATCACCAAAAATGTTATGACTTATGCTTAACAAAAACTTGCATATGATTTACCTGAATGAAAATATGTAATTATCAGGGGTAGGCTGTTTGGCATTTTTCTGTACAATACTGCAAATGTATAGTAAAAGGAAGTAAAAGTTTAAACTTCTTAATTTGTAGAAAAGTAGAATTTACTTGATTCGATCTAGCAAAATGGAAAAGAGATAATAGTCTAGGCTATTAAAAGAACTTCTACAGTATTTTCTTGTCAGTTGATCACTTTTTTGAAAAAAAAATTGAAGGTCCTTTGTATATGAAAATAATTATTTAAAAGAAGTGATTTAAAATAATTTTCAGATAATTATTGGTTTTATTATCCTTGATATAAATTTATCAGTGGTGTATATCATAGGTTACACTACTATGATTTTATTTTTAAAATATTTAATTGTTAAAGTATAAGCTTAGTTGACACAAAATATAAAAATGAATTATTTGGAAATCTGCTTTAAGAGATTTAAAAGACTAAGTCTTATAAGTAAGATAGATTAATGAAAGCAATGATTTAATTGCTTTTTTCCATTTCATTTAAAAGACTAAGTCTTATAAGTAAGATAGATTAATGAAAGCAATGATTTAATTGCTTCTTCCCATTTCATTTGAAATGACCAACAAATTTTAAAAATAGGAGAGTCTGTACCAAATCAGAAACTAGGTAAGAGGAGCATCTTCATAGGACAAACATAGATGATTTTGTGATATATGTGGAGGTACGAATAGATTAAAGAGAGTCAACTCCCCCTTCTAAGAAATGTAATATCTCTGGCTGCAATTGAGGTGCCTCTAGCACCTAATTTGGAGGGGTAATCAGGGAGCAGTTGGAATGCCTTTGTGTTCTACATCTTAGCCTAGGGTTATGGGTATTTCAGTGGTAGTTCTAATTGGTAGAGTTGGTAAGGCTTCTCTATGATGCGGCAGGTAGTAACACCAGGAAGGAGGTAGGATATATGCTGTGGTGTTCTTTTATTCGGTGTTCAGAGTAATCAGATAGCTATAGAAAGCTGGCCTCTAGTTCAGTAAATTCACCAAACCTGGGGGCAAATGATAAGAGAGATGACCTTTTCCTGCTGGCCCCTTTTCTGCCTCTTCTCAGACTGATGGACCTCTGAACTAGCTATGCAGATTTACATTGACTAACTAGCCTTCATGATTAAGACATGAGGATGATTCTAACAGTAACTGCATAGACACATGGAAAATACTTTCATTCTACTCTGTGTTATTTTCTCACATATTAGCCTCACAGTCTTTATTATTTTTTATCTTCCTCAGCTAGAACATCAGCTCCATGAGGAAAGGACTGTTCTTTTTGTTCTTTAATTTTATCCTAAGTATCCATTAGATTGTATAGCACATAGTAAGTGTGCATTTTAATATTTGTTTAATGCATGAATTGAGCTATCCTCAAGACTTATTCTCTGGAACATTAAATGCCAAAAGATAGTGAAGCAGCATCTACAGAGATTTTAAGGAAAAGGATTCTGATTTAACATTTCTGAACTCATATAAATTATTATCCATATATAAAGGTGACAGATATATTTTTAAGTTATGTAAGGGTACATAAGAATGTTGTCCAGGTGTCCTTCCTAAACTAGTTATGTCAGCTATTACTATAGCCAATCAAATGATGAATTAAAGATGTCAGGAATGCAGAAAACATGAAGAATAATTATATTAAACATTAAAACCTGTTAAATATATAATACTAAATAATTTCTGTAATATTATTATGCCAAATAGAAAATAATTTTTGGCCAAAGATACATTGAATACAGTTATAATAAACTGGGTCTTTCACACAAACTAAAATTTATTTTGATAGATTTCACAATATTACATTGTTCTAGCATTTCTAAAATGATAATTATAGAAAGTGTGGTCCAAATAACGTGTTTTCAAATGTAAAAATAACATTTATAACAGAGATCCTTAGGACCCTAGAAATCCATGAATGGGCTTCAGAAACTGTGAACACTTTGGAATTCTATATAAATTACATATTTTTTTCCCCCTTGGGTAAAATTCCTGAAGTGGTCCATCACTGTTGTATAAAAGCAAGGAAAGTAAGTACAAAGCAAAACAAAAGTAAAGCAAATACAAAAATGCATGAAAGCCTAAGAGTCTTAAATATAAAGCAGGAACGTGCAAAGCAGTTTTGGTAATAAGATACCCAAATGAATAAAATATTAGAAGAAAGAGACTCTCAGATGGGATTAAAAAACAAAATCCAACTAGCTGATAAATACTGGAAACTCTTAAACCAGAGAGATGGAAAGCTTAAGGACTAGCAAATGTCTGTCTGTTTTACCCAGCTCAAAAGTGGAGGGAAAGACAGTGTTACTATCTTACAAAATATAAGTACAGGACAAAAAAGTTTACAACAGTAGAGCAAAGATTATCTTATACGAACTAGAGAATAACACGTGTCAAACAATAAAGATAGATAAAGCTATAATTATTTGAATAACAAGGAGAAACTGGCAGAAACACAGTGTTTGTGGGTGATTTTAGTAAACCTCTAAATTCTTGGCAAATTAAATATAGGTGGTTAAACTAATCTAAATGGATGATAAAGACAGCTCCTGCAAATACATTTGAAAATATGATTGAAATGGAGAATGTTTTAGGAAAATAGAAATAACTAAAATGGACCTAAACAGTAGAAAACCTAAAATTGAATAGGCAGTCAAGTTGTCTTCACTGAAGATACCAAATGCTGATGACTTTATAGATTAGTTCTCCCAACTTTCTAGAAATTTTCCTATGGTTTATTTTCCAGAGCATGGAAAAAAAGGGAAAGTTTAGAAGCTAGCATGATGCTGAAAACAAAGCCTGGTAAGAATACTGAAACCACCTATAGCACAGTGTCACTCAAAAATAAATGTAAAAATTCCAAATAAAATATTGACAAATTGAATTAAGCTGTATTTTTCAAGAATAAGACACCTTGACCAAGTAAGGATTATTTTTAAGAAAGTAAGTTCAGTGTAGTACTAAGACTTTAATTAATAAAATCTATCATCAGTAGGTCAAAGGAAGCAAACCAAATGATTATCTCAGTAAATGCCATAAAGAGATTTCATAAAAAAATGATCAGTTCCAGATATAATCTCTTAAGGAAACTAGTGGTAGAGTGGAGGCATTTCCTGAACAAGCTGAGTATTAGCTAACCAAAATCAATAGCTAGCATCACAAATGAATGTTAGAGAGTGAAATGTCAGAGAATGCCTCTCTCAACCATTATTATTTAACATGGTTTTCCAAGCTGTAGCCAAATCAGTAAACCAGGAAAAGGTAAGGACAACCATTAAAAGAGTGGGGTATGTTTATCAATATCTATGGAGGATATTACTGTCTACCTAGAAAATCTAAGGGAATCAATTGTAAAACCTGACTTAGAATAAAAGTTCAATAAAGTACTAGTTACAAGATACATAAATAAAATTTAGTAGCTTTCCTATGTATATGTGTATGTGTTTAAGTAAAAACCAGTTAAAAAATGTAATGGGAAAGTACCCTTTGGAATAATACTTTCTGTATCGTTACAGAAAGTGTTGACTCATGGCGTTAATGGTTTTATCATATAGGTGTAGTATAATGTAACTAGTTTCATGTTGGCAGACATATTTTCCCAATATTTTTATAATAATCAAATGAATGATAAATCAATAAATGAACTAAGGACATTTTGAGAACTAATAACAAGAATTGAATTTTATTCCCTGGTTTAATAGTATGATTAAGCTACGATAATGTTCATTATTGGTAATGGTACAAGAATAGATCGTTGGAATGGAAAAGAAGGTCTCAGATACTCCAAGGTATATGGCATTTTATATCTGGAATATAAACCCAAAGAAAAATGCCATTATAAAGAAAAATATTGAAAGTTTTGACTAAAAATTCAAAAAGTACTTTCTGTTTGGTACTGAACTGCATTATTTCCTCGTCCTATCCAGGCAGTTGTCTTTCTTGTTTGCAATAGAATTTTCTAAATTCAGTCCCTTTCTTATTAAGAAGAAATAAAAATGAGAAAATGAAGTGTATATATAGTAGGGCCTCATAGTTTATATTTTTAACCTACAGAAGATAAGCACTGAGGATTTTCAAGAGAGGAGTAGCTTAATTAGATTTGCATTTAATTAATTAAATTAATTGCATTTAATTTAATTTCCAAACGCCAGTTTTCCCCTTGTTTATCCATGACTAACTACTGTTAGGGCTCTTATTTGTAACCCAGGTTACCATATATAATACGAGCACTTCATTTTTGCTGTCCGCAGTGTTTCCAAACAGCATGTAAGGCAATTTGGTAACTATATTAGTTAGAATAGATCGAGCTGCTGTTACAAAGAGACCCAGCAGCTCAGTGACTCAAAAACAGTAATAAACATTTTTATAATACATACTCTTTTCCTGGCATTTTACATATATTAACTAATTTAATACTCACAAGCACACTATGAGATAGGTATCTTAATTTTACAGATGAAGAAACTGAGACACAGAGTACGTATATAACTTGTTCAAATATCTAGTAAGTGGAAGTTTGAATCTAGGTGTTCTGAGACAGCTTATGCTCTTAATCACTTTGCTTTGCTGCTTCAAGATAGAAATTTGTTTCTCACTTACTGGTCCAGAGCATAGGCAGGTCAGAGTATGCTGCTGTTTCACTAGGTCATCAAAGGAAACGGGATCTTTTTATTTTGTTTTTCGTCTTATTTGTTCTCATGTGCATGTGGGAAATGTAAATGAAAGAAATTGGAGTGGACAATTTTCTTTCTAAAGAAAGCAACCAAGAATCTGCACGTGTAACTTTGCCTTATGTTCCTTTTGCCAAAAATTGGTCCTACAGGTGTAACAGCTGCAATGAAGGCTGGGATGTATAACCTCTAGCTAAAACTTAGGATTTTGTTTCTGAACGGAAGGAGAGTAGAACAGCTACTAGGGGGACGGTTTAATCTTTGTTATGTTACATTGGAAATGGGAATCAGAGAGTAAAAAAAAATCCTCTTTTGTTTAAAAACGCTTGTTTACTTATACGAGAAGCCTCAAAGTACTCTTCTGCTCATCTTCCCTGTCTCCCCCATGTTCATTCTTTCTATGTCCTTTTACATTCTACTTCCTGACTTTTTCTGTAATGTATGCTTCTTTCTTCATCCCCATTACTGCTGCGTTGGTCCAGACAGCTGTTGTCTTTTCCACTGTTATTCAGTCTCCCTCCACCTAATACTCTCCCTCCCTCACACCTGTCAGAGGGATCTTTTGAAAATACAAATTTAATTAAGCTACTCCTCTCTTGAAAATCCTCAGTGCTTATCTTCTGTAGGTTAAAAATATAAACTATGTGGCCCTACTATATATACACTTCATTTTCTCATTTTTATTGGTCACTCTTACCCAAGTATACTGTGCATCCTAGTCATATTTCTTGCTATTTTCCAAAGATTACATCTCACTTCCTTATTTTAGCAATACTCTCTTCCTAAAAGCCACGCTCACCTGCTCATAGTATCTAGAGATCTGCTACAGTTTCTTCAAAATAATGCTTTAATATTGCCTGTTCTGTGAAGTAAAGTGATTACTGATCAACACTTGGCCCCAAGTAGTTTGCAATTAGTTATTCTATCCCTGGTTTTCCAGTAACTTTTTTTTTTTTTTAAACAAGACTCAACATTTTTATTAGTAACATTAACAATAAAAGATACGGTGACTAACGCAGGCAGCAAAAACTAAGGATGATCCACAAATGACTGAAGTATACCTGAGTGATTAAAAAACATGACCCATGTGGATGAAAAATGTCAGTTTCAGCTCAGTGAAGGAATGGTTAAGCATGGTTCAGAGTTTGAAGAGCTGGATTATAGAAAAATTCACTAAGGAATGTTAGTGAATTTAGAATAGGATTGGGAAATTAGACACAAAATGACACGTTTGACAACACACTATAACCTGGAAAGAAAATGTTTGTCTTTATTACAAAGTTGACATGTCACTGGGACATTTTATCAGTATGAGTGGGTTGCAAAGCTCATTCTCTAGATGGTTGGAAATTGACCATGTCAGTGAAAGGTTGTGTTACATTTTTTTTGCCCTATTAAGGACAACCCAGTAAAGAAGGCAGGGACATTACATTTAAATGCCTAAGAGATGAATTCTCAGATAGTATCTACATGCTTCCAGTTATTCTCCAGAGCATCTTAGAAGGCACCTGGAATTTCAGCTGGAGACATCTGGCTAAATGAGAAATAAACTTTGGGAATCAATCTAAATCAAGGACCAATAAGGGACTCTATCCACCCAAGGTTTAGGCTCAAGGGTCGTAACACTTTGAAGTATATGCTTCCATTAATGTTTATCTTCTACATTACAGTTGCTCATTTACACTTTTCTGCTATTTAACCTCATGAGCTCCCTGAGGGCAGGGACTATATCTTTTTAAAATTTATGTCTTTTTAAAAATTCTAGGTACAGAAGACAGTGCATGGTACAGGGCAGTATTCAAACAAACAAATGGGAGGTGATTTATAAAGGGATGAGTTGAGTTATTGAAATTTATCATAAACAGGATGTTTCATTCTGCTGATACATCATACGACATTATTAATTAATTTTTTTTTTTTACTGTTTATTTTTTTATTGTACTTCATGTGAAGGCTTACAGAACAAATAGTTTCTCATGAAACAGTAGCACACATACTGTTTTATGACCAACCCTCTCCCTTTTTTTTTTTTGGTGAAAATATACATAGCCAAAGATACACCATTTCAAAAATTTCTACACTCACAGTTCAGTGACATTGACTACGCTCTTCCAATTGTGCTGCTATTCTCACTTTAAATGAA